CTATCTTGTTTAGGGAATAATGACAAGAAAAAAATCTATACATGTTCATTAGAGATGCAATTTTTTTCCAAATGTTTTCCATCGTGGTTGGTTGGAATCCAAGGATGTGGAACCCATGAATATAGAGAGCTAACTGAATACACATTCCTATAAAAATATATTCCAATTTACATATCTATTTTCTAACATGTATGTATATATATTATATATATAAGTATATATATTTCCAGACAGCTTGGTATTTCTCTTGCTTGAAAGGCTAATTGAATAGAATATATATAACTCCTCTGAGATTTAAAATACATTTTGGAGCGAGAAAATATTCATTCATTACTTCTGTCCTTCTTCAACAGTTTATAAACAATTATGAAAAATATGTCCCACAGATAGAGTCAGACTATAATAGAATATATATATTTTGGAAATATATATAATATATAATATTTCCAAAATATATGTATTCATTTTTTCCCAATCTGGGACTGTAGAAATTTAAAGACTTTAGAAACAATTTAGAACCTAGAAGACCATTTTTATGTAATGTCCCCACAATGCCAATAACATGCTCACTATGATAAAGAAAGGAATCCAAATGCCCATCATTGCATCCTCAGAACTTCCTTGAGTTTAAACTGAAATCAACTATGACCTAAAGATATTTTAAATGACTTACTTTCTGGTTTCCTTTACCTTGTTCACAAGTTACTGCTAACATTCCTGTGAATGAATGCAAGTTCACTAAATAAGGAGCCAGTCAATATAAATTTCAGGATCTATTATACAAATAGGCTTTGGTTTCCCCAGAAGACAAATGAAGATTTTTTAAACTGCTGTAAAACATTAAGAATGTTGCAAAACAAATCATTTCATAGGTACTATCCACTGAAACAAAATTATTGCATCATGTAGGAATGAAATAAACCACTGGGTGCAGTAGCTTGCTCCTGTAATCCCCACTACTCAGAAGGGTAAGGCAGGAAGATTGCATGACGCCAGGAGTATGTGATTAGCCTGGACAATGTAGCTAGATCTCATCTCTAAAAATAATAAAAATAAAATTTTATTTTAAAACCATGTAAAGTTATTCCCCTTTATTATTGTATAGTTGTCTTTTTATTAGGAAGTGAAGGCACTTACACTTTGGTATGTTTTAGTTCCTTACCCCTAAAATAAGAAGATCACTAAATAAATAACATCAGATTCTGCAGCTTATGATCAAATATTTAATTTTTCATTCATATTTAAGTAAGGGTTTTAATAACATACAAGCTGAAAAGAAAATATAGCAAGAATAAACTCATGCCATTTCTTAAGAAAAAAACAGGTTTAGATAAAATATTAAAGAGTAATCAGAAAAAATCAGAATGAATCTTACAAAAATATTTTGTAATATAAAGTAAGAGACTGTAATACAAGACCATGTGACATAAAGAAACACAAAAGTAATGGAAGTTTATATTTGTAAGTTTTTTAAATTGAATTAGCATCTCTTTTAAATCAAATTTAAGAAGACCTGATTTCTATGAAATAAGAAATTCCAGTGTTATTAGTTATCATGTGACCTTATGAAAATTGCTTTATTTATATGTAAAACATTATAATTTTCAAAAATGGCAACCACAATACTTCTGGTTTTACCTACTTTTCTAGAACCTCACCATTACCTTACCAAGAGTTAATGTTTATCCCACTGCTCTACCTGATATTGAGTGTACTTTTGCAGCTGCTTCAATGAATATAATGTGATATAAATGACCTATGTGACTTGTAAAGCTAGGTAACTCATAATATGTAATACAGTTTCTTCCTGGCTTGCTCTATCTAGGGATGCTCACCCTTGGGACCTAGCCACCATGTTGTCAAGAAGCCCAGACGACATACAGAGACTACTTATATTTCAATATTCTTATATTTTTCCATGTGTGTACTGTGTGCATGTGAGTGTGTGTTTCTAATTTGTAAACACACACGTACATGCACACAGCATATGCAGAAAAATACAAAAATGTGAAACAGAAATCATCTATAAACTGAAAAAAGCTTAATCTACAAATTCACTAATTCCAGGAAAAATAAAAGTTCAACTATCATTTTTTTAATCTACCTCAAAATTATTAACTTAGAGATGCTCCTATGTATTTCTAAGAGCTTTATTGAGAGCTTCCATAAAACAAACTGCACATATTAAAAGTATAAAATTTAAATTTTGACATAAGTCTAACATGTGAAAACACGACCATGATCAGAGTAATGACATATACTCATCCCCAATCCACTTTCTAATCTCACCCTCCCCATTACACACTGGAATCATCTGCTTCCAGTAACCACTGATCTGCTTTCTGTCACTATTCATTAGTTTGCATTTCCAGAAATGTATATTACTGGGTATACAGTGTGCACTTTTTGTCTACGTTATTTAACTCATCATCATTTTGAGGTTTGGCAATTTGTGTCTTTTAAGAAATTTGCCCATTTCATTGAAGTTGTAGAATTTATAGGCAGAAAGTCTTCATAATGTTTGCCTATTATCCTTCTAATATCCTTAATATTTGAAGTGATGTAATCTCACTCCTTTTTTTTAATTCAATATTGAAATGATGTCTGATCTTACTCTTGAAATTGGTAATTTGCATCTTCTTTTCCTTGTTTGAATAGAGATTTATTAATTTTATTGATGTTCCCAAAAATTCAGCTTTTTTATTTTATTGATTTTCTCTATTGTTTTCTATCTCATTGATTTCTAATCTTTATTCCCTTTTTTCTACTTTGAACTTAATTTTCTCCTTTTTTTTTTCTAGTTTCTTAAGATGAAAATGGAAGTCTTTGGTTTTAAAAATTTCTTTTCTCTAATACAAGTGTTAACTGCTATAAATTTCCTAAATATAGTGTGTTATCCCATGAATTTTAACACTTAAATTCAAAGTAATTTCTAATTTCCTTTTTAATTTCTTCTTTGAGACAAGAGTTATTTAGAAATGAGTTATTTAGTTTTTAAATATTTTGAGATTTTTCAGAGATATTTCTATTATTGATCTCTAATTCTTTTGTGGTCAGAACATACACTTTATATAACATTAATCCTTTTAAATTTATTGAGATGAGTTTATAAACCAGAATATGGTCCATATTGGTAACTACTTTCTGTGTACTTGAAAATAATATGTAATCTGCTGTTGGTGGTGGAATGTTCCATGAATATCAATTGTGTCAAGGTAGTTGATCATATAATTTAAATAATCTACATCCTTAATGATTTTCTGTCTGGTTGTTCTATCTGTTGAGAAATAGATATTGAAACTTCTGATTATAATTGTATAATTGAGTGTTTTTCCTAGCAATTCCACTGGATTTTGCTTCATATATTTTGAAGCTCTGATTAGTTGCATAAATACTTAGGATTATTACATCTTCGTGATGAGCTGATGCCTGAAACATTATTTAATAACTTTCTTTATCCTTGGCAATATTCATTGCTCTGAAATATACTACATCTGATATTAATATATCCACAGCAGCTATCTTTCAACTTGTGTTGTCATGGTATATCTTTTCCAATCCCTTTCCTTCAAACTATGTGTGTCCTTATATTTGAATTGTGTTTCTTGTAAGCAGCATATTATTTGGTCTTTTTATTTTATTCAGTCTGACAATTTCTGCCTTTTAATTTCATTATTTAAACAATTTACAATACAATAAGAGATTTAAGTAATATACCTTTTATAGCTGTGCCACAATATCAGCAAAAGATTGGTTCCGGTTCCCCTCATTCACTGCTACCCCCTGCAACCAAAATCCCTAGATGTTCAAGTCCCTTTCATAAAATAATATAGTATTTGCATTTAACCTTTATATATATTCATGTATATCTTAAATTATCCCTAGATTACTTATAATACATAAAATGTAAATGCTATATAAATAATTGTACTGTATTTTTATTTGTACTTGTTTAATTTTGTATTGTTATTTTTATTTTTTAAGAATTTTTCATCCATTGCTAGTTGAATCCACAGATGCAAAACCCCTGAATACAAAGGGCCAGCCATATTTATCCCTGCAGTTACTATTTCTAGCTCTCTTCATCTGTTTTTGTACATCCATATTTTTACCTGGCATAATTTTCCTTCAGCCTGAAGGATTTCCTTTAACATTTCTTGTAATGTAAGACTATTGGTGATGAATCCAGCTTTTGAAATTTTTTTGTATAACCTTCAGTTTTGAATAGGTATAGAGTTCTAGAATTCATTTTTACTGGGTATAGAATTTAGGATTACAGTTTTTGTTTTGTTTTCAGTACTCCACTGGCATCTCATTTGCATGGTTTACAATAAGATATATCTGTCTTTCCTATTTTCTCTGTACAAGTATTTTTTTACTGGCTGCTTTTAAGATTATCTCATTATCACTACTTTTGAACGATTTGGCCATGATATGCCTTGATTGTTGCAATGGTTTGAAGGTGCCACCAAAACTCATATGTTGGAAACTTAATTGAATTCCCAATGCCAGAGTGTTGGGAAGTGGTGTCAAATAAGAGGTAATTGGGTCCTGAGGGCTCCACCCTCATGAAGGGATGAATGTGTTATCATAGGAGTAGGGTAGTTGTAGAGGAAGTGACTTTGTTATAAAAGCAAAGCCTCCTTTATATGGGTTCTCTTGACCTTCCACCTTTTGCCCTTCTGGCATGGGATTACACTCTCCAGGTGCCAAAGCCATGCTCTTGGACTTCTCAGCCTCCAGAACTGTGAACCAAATAAACTTCTTTGTAAGTTACACAGTCTGTGGCATTGTTATAGCAGCAGAAAACAGAGTAAGTTGTTTTTCTCATGTTTCTTGTCCTTGGAATTTTTGAGATTCTTGGATATGTGGGGTTATAGTTTTCATTAAAAATGAGAATGTTTTTAGCCATGATCTCTTCAAATTTTTTTCTTTCCTGCTCTTCTCTCCAATTTCATATATATTAGATTCTTGATTTCATTATTCTCTTATACTCTGTTCATTCTTTAAATTCTCTTTTCTCTTTATTTCTCCTTTTTTAACCCTTTTACTGAGATAATTTACATATCATAAAATTCACCCTTTAAAATATACAATTAAATAGCTTTTAGTACATTCACAAGTTATGTAAACAAACATCACCATTATTTCTAATTCCAGAACATTTTCATCACACCAATAAGAAAACTCATACCCATTAACAGTCACTCCCCAGGCCCCACAGCCACTGGCAACCATTAGTCTGCTTTCTGTATCTATTGATTTCCCTATTCTGGATATTTTATAAAAATGAAACTGTACAGTATGTGGCCTTTGTGCCTGATTTCCTTCACTTAGCATAATGTTTTCAAGGTATACTCTTGTAGCATGTATCAGTACTGCATTTCTTTTTAATGTTGAATAATCCAATGTATGAATATGTAATTTTTATTTATCTTTTCATAAATTGATAATTTGGATTGTTTCTACTTTTGACTATTATAAATAATGCTGCCATGAACATTTGTGTACAAGTTTTTGTGTGGACATATATTTTCACTTCTCTTGGGTAGAAACCTAAGATAGAATTGCTGGGTCATATAGTAACTCATATTTTTTTAACCTTTTGAGGAAATGCCAAGCTGTTTTCCAAAGCAGCTGCACTATTTTACATTTCTACCAGCAGGTTAGGATGGTTCCAATTTCTCCACATCCTCGCTAACACTTATTATCTGTCTTTTTTATTATAGCCAAACTATTTGGTGTGAAGTCATATCTAATTGTGGCTATGGCTTATGTGATCTTACTGGTTAATGATCATTAGCATGTGCTTACTTCCCATTTGCCTATCTTCTTAGAAGAAAAGTCTATTCCAATCCTTTGTCCAGTTTTTAAAAATTGGGTTGTCTTTTTATTATGTTTTAATAGTTCTTTGTAAATTCTGGATGCCCGTCTCTTATCAGATTCATGACCTGCAAACCTATTCTGTGGGTTGTATTTCACTTTCTTGATAGTATCCTTTGGAGTACAGAAGTTTTTACTTTTAATGAGATTATTTAGAGCCAATTAACATATAAATATGCATTCAATCTCACTAGAGATAAAAGATAAAGAGAAATAATATTTTTATAAGATTGGCAAAGATAAAAATAAGAAAAAATAAATTTATTATTAGCAAAGATTTCAGTACTCTCATAAACTCCTGGTGGGATTTTAAACTGAACAAGTTTTCCGGGGACTATTTGGCAATGTATCTCAAAAGCCCTAACAAACAAAACAAAACAAAAAACTCTATGTCCTTTGACCCAACAACTCCACTTCTAGAAATTTATCCCAAGGAAAAAGTTGAACAACTTTGCAAAAATGGATTTTATTACAGGAATGTTTATATAACAAGAAATTAGGAGAGTAAAGTCTAACAATAGGACATGGGTTAAATATATTATGGTAAGCCATATAATAAGATACTGTGTAATTATTATAAATGATAATTAATTTTTTCACTTTTTAAAGACATTGTTTCCCAGGCTAGTCTCAACTCCTGGCCTCAAGCAATTCTCTCACTTTGGCTTCCATATATATGATAATTCACATCAAGTTTCACCACCTGTCATGTCCACAAGTTCCAGATGTAAGATAAATGAGTGAAAAGACTCTCTAGAAAATTCGACAGCATATGCCCCTTTTGGAGAGGGCAGTTTCTATTAATTGATGCCAAGCAAGAAAGTATATGTGTGCTGGTTGTGAGGTGGGAAGTGAGAGGTGTCTTGTGTTGTCAGATTATCCAATACTTTAAAAGAAGCAGGACATTGAATTTTACATAACATTTTCCAAATTTCAAATGCTGTCTAATGGTTAAATATGAAAAATAATAATAATAATCAGTGGCCAAATAAAACACAGCATTTTTGGACTAGATTCAGTTCAAAGGCTGGGAACTCTAATGTACATACACATTTATTGACATAGATATCCATAACATATTGTTAAAATTTTAAGCACCCTGCTACAAACAGTTCATATAATATCTCTATTTTGTTAAAATAAAAGCATATTTACATATATGTATAAACTCTAAACAGTGTCTAAAGGGATATAAATCAAAATGTTAATAGTGAGTAATTTTGCTTTTCGATTGTATATAGTTCTTTATTTTTGTATTTTTATACTGACCATTAATATTTTATATTCAGAAAAAAATGATATGGCTCTTTGTATCTGTGGTTATAAAAGTAAGAGTTAATAGTCTGGTTTAAAATTTTGAGAATAAACTTAAAATCAAAATCACTAAATATAGAATCTTGCACACAAAATCAGACAGACCTGAGTTCAAAATCAGTTATTCCATTTATTATCTCAGTGGCCTTGGGCTTTCTCACCTTTAAAATGCCAGTGATAATACCTACCGTCTTCACCTCAGATCCCATTGATGATGTAAAGATGAATAAATAAAAATAGAATTAATATCTAAAACACTAGCTTCTTAGCATCACCAAATCTAAGTGGACAGAAGAGAGAAGGGACTTTTTCTACCACAGTTCAAGTCTATAAAGGAGATAGGTGCTCCTTGTAGAATGTAACAATGTCTTGGAGACATAATACACAAAAAAAATTTGTTTTTGCTACTCTGTCTGAAGGAATGTGCATCACAGGAGACTAGGAGAATCTTCCCTTGCCACTCCTCCACTCCCAGAATCCAAAGCTCCTCCCTGCTCCATATCTCACTCCCCATCTAGCAAGAACATCCAGTGGAATGAAGCAGAGTATGGCTGACGACCCACTGCCAGAAGTAGCATCTGATGAGGTGGAATCCATATTATGTTCTCGAGAATTGTTGGGTAGGCCCTAAGTGTGAGGGGAGCTCTAGGACAAATTAAAAACTAGGGAATCTACTTCAAAAGATTAGATTTGACCCTGGAATAAAGAAATGTATAAATATTGTTTGAGAGTTTGCCATCCTTTACCTTCTCTTCCCACCTATCTGTATATCCAGTAAAGACGTGGATTTACCAAATGAAATTCAAGTAGATGAAGAGGTACCCTAGTAAAATCAACCAATCAGCTGATATAAGGTGGGTTTTGTTTCTGCTTACAGAACCTTTTTTACCACAAAGGGCTTAACACCTGCATTCCACTATTCCTCCTACCAGCAAGTTAAATATAATAGAGAGTAAAGAAATTTTTTCAGGCCATTGTAGTACCATTGGAAACTTGCCTTAAATGATCTCAGGTACCTGCTCCTTCAAGTGCCCAGTTTTAAACCCAGGGAATAATTTCATCATATCTGATCCATGCAAATAGCAAACTCTTTCAGATATTTTAATGTAGTAATCCATTTTCATGAGCTTTGCTTTCTCAATTCACAATAAAAGAAAAACAGTAAGTGTTTTTTTCATATCTTTACTCTTTCAGTAATGTGCAACATGAACGTAATAGTGTTAAGAAGTCAGAAATAACACAGAAACTATAGGAGATGTTTATATTTGCAAAATTTCAACAATTATCTTCTCTAGGTTCCCCAAATTAGCATATTTGTTAATCAAATTAATTAAGAAGCTTTTCAAAATAAAAGCAATGTTTTAAATAAATATATTCTCTCATAACCATAGAACATTTAGTTCTGCTGGAGGTAACAAACATTACACTCAAGTACTTTATGAAGACATTAGGGTAAAAATGACCTAGATGCAATTATAAATGTACCCTAATTAGTCATTTGTTTTCATTTGTATGCTTTTCTGTGTACATTAGGATTATATCATAGATGTTTTAAAACTGTTTAGTTCTTAAATTATCACAAAGATGTTATCTGACCCACAGAATTTCTATCAGCTCAATATGATGATATGATATTGTTTGAACAACATCTTTAAATTTAAATTTAGTACCCTAAATTACATCCAAAGCCAGACCTCTAAGCTGCCTTATCTATTACAGAAAATGAGTGCTAGAGTCTCAGCTTAAAAGAATGAGACCGTCCTACAAATCTTGAAATTATGCAATAATATTATTGTTATATCAAAATTCTAATTGCAACAGAGCTTTCAGAATGTTTCAGAGTACCACATAGATAGATATAAATTCACTTATGATCAGCTTTTCAAGTGAAATCATAGGTTTAGTAAATGACTACAGAAAACTTTCTAAAAATTGATTTTATTTAATAAATATTTTTTAAAGTTTTCTAACTGAAGAAATGACTTCGCTAATCTTTCTAGAAATTCTGATCATCTGTTTAATCTTCCATTCACTTTTATTTCTACTGTGATTCTTAGGAATTTTTCTAATCTACATATAATCTACCAAAACATCTATGCTTTGATAAATTTGATAAATTTACTTCCTTCAATAACAAGCTATGCTAAGATCTCTAAATTAAATGTCAAAGGCAGAGACATAAAATTAAACACAGCGACAGGTTACAGTAAGTGCTCTTTAGAATTTCAGATTAACAAAATAGTCCCAAAATAATCAAGGAATAACTCACTAAATGAATAATGCAACACAGAATAGATTTTAACAGAATTCCTCTGTCTCTCTTTTTCTCTATCACACACACACATACACACACACATTCTCTCTCCCTCTCTCTCTCTCTCTCTCTCTCTCTCTCTCTCTCTCTCTCTCTCTCTCTTCCAAAGACATCCACACACAGGTGTTGACACGTATCTCAGAATTTAAAACACTGCTACTAAAGGCTTTAACTTAGATAAATTACACTAAAATACTGACATTGTGAAAATATCTATGTCCTATATGACATAGAGGGTATCATTTTTTGAACTTCTAAAACATTTAAAGAAAGAAAACAAGAATGAGAAACCAGAGTCCTTTCAAGACGGGTGAACATGTCAATGATGCCCAGACTCACAGCTTCCCATTCTCCTCGCTACTTTCCTTCTCCTCTATGGCTTCCAGGCTGCGCTTGCTCTTGGCCTCAGTACTGCTGCTGGGGGCTTTACTCAGTCCACAGGACAAGCACGCCAGCTGGATCTGCTTCATGTTTTCTATAGCTTCATTCTTGGCATTCTTCAACAGATCTCCTTGGCCCTACAAACAGAAAAAATAGATATCAAAGAAGACAGTTTTGGGCCAGGCATGTGCTGAGTGACATCACTCTATGCTGAATGAGGAAACAAACTTTTCCAGGGTTTAGCCCAAGGTTCTTTTCTAACATTATTAAATGACTTTGCTTATTAAGCCAAGTACTTCAACCTGAGCCTAACTGGGTATGCAGTTGCTGGCCGTCCCTAGAGATTCCTGTTGCAAGGAACCCTTCCTCTTTATGTGCTGAGGACATCAACTCTCCCATCACCATGGTCTGAGACTCTGCACACTGCTGCCATGCCTACCCCATCCAGACCCAACATTCCTAGTCTTGGGACAAAACAAGGAAAGAAGCCCTTCCTTAAAGAAGTTAAAATCTCCCCCTCCATGTACAAGAGCTTACAAAGCAAAGTGTCTTCTGTAAAGTAAGTCACATACCCTTATGCTTGGTGAGCTGGTTTTTAATATACTGGGTTATCCTTGCAATCTGCCTGTTGTTAAATTATTAGTTACCCACATTACTTCTGCCTTTTCCATCATCCTAAAGAAGATTCCCATCTGGCAGATGGAGAAAAAGATTCTCCAGAGGCTCAGCATGTTAATCAAAACAAAAAGGAAATAAAGATTGCAGGAACACATTAGCTGACATTTACATCAGTGCCCAACCGAGATCTTTTCCTGCTATTCTTTATTTCTCGTTTTAGTTCACTGTTATGATGATAAAGTGCACACACTGATACTGGCCCAAGGGTTGAAGGACTGAGTGTGGGGAAGTGGGGACAGGTGTCTATGATGTATAGACAGAGGAGGAAGTAGCTTCTTCCCTCTCCTCTCCATTCTCATGACAGCGCCTGAAAGTGTGACCTTGAAAGTAAAGGACAATATGGGAAGATATGGTGTTATGACAATTGCTGGAGCATTATTCTACAAAGCAGAGGCTCAGAGAAAGGATAATTCACCTATTTTATGGAAAGTCATTCTATCTTAATTTGATAAATGCTTTTTTTTTAGGGTGTATGAAGAAACTTGTATTTAAAAAAGCTTTTAATGTTTTATTTCTCAAATTGTAAGATACATTTGCCAATTCTGTCCTTTGTAAAAACTGCTAAATCCTTCTAATAGCAGCTTTTAACTATATGGGATGATGCTGGGCCTTGCCTAATGTTTGTTTTAAAGAAACTTCCTCTCCAGTACATCAATCATAGTATGGGATTTTGGAAGAGTTGGAGGTGGATAGTTTTGACTTCTCATGAGGAGAAATGAAATTGAGCTGGATAAGGTTAATTGACTGGCCCAAGGTCACAGCTGGTTAATAACTGAGCTGGGACTAAAATTCAGGTATTTGGCCTCCTGGATCAGTGCTATATTCCCCACACAATGTTTACAATCTAGTCTGAAACTAAAGACTAGAAATTAGAGTCTAAAGACTCTGCCAGTGAGAGATGTATTTTTCTAAGGAAAAAGTATTCACTACACCAGCAGACTTTGGGAAGTCTGTTCTGAGCAGTATAGATATCATGAATGAGTCTGCTCAACAAACTTGCACATTATGCACATGTATCCCAGAACTTAAAGTAAAAAAAAAGAGTGAAGTCACATCCACTTTAAAAAGTGCAACTCTTCAGTAATAACAGACTGATGTGTAGAGTGCTTCCTCAGTGTGGGCACTATTCATGCTTTTATATACGTTCATTCAATCATTCATTACAACATCCCTATGAGATAGGTACTTTTGCTATTCTCAATTTACTGATGAAAAAACTGAGGCCCAGAGCAATCATTCTTCTAAAAGTCATACAGCTGCTGAGTGGTAGAGCTGGAGCTTAAAGTCCAGAAGCTGGCTCAAGTCTGTGGTCTTAACCACCACCTGATAGGCATCTTTTAGCGGCAAAGCAGGCATTCTCTGCAAGGTATCCTAAAGCCTTCTATTCATTGTTACCCAAGGAATCAATGCAGATAAAAAGAAAAGCACTGCCCATGTGACACAGTCTGACAAATTTAGAGATAGCATCCAGAATCAGGAAGATGGGGCAGAGCAAGAACACACTGGCAGGGACAAGGGTCGGAGCATCTTCCACCAATTTTTATCTGGGCCATTTTCTCTTCTGCAAAAATAATGAAAATATCCTGTGGCCTTTCTCACAGTTCTAAGACTAAAGAAAATATATTGAAGAGCTCTTTGTGATTTAAATGGTTGTAAGTAAGTATAGGAATCATAATGCTATAAGGTGATTTGGAAAGTGGTTAACATTATCTGCTACTATATGTTAGTATCTTGGTACTATGTATATTTTATTAAAAATTTGGCTAACATTTAAAATGCATCTACCATAGTCTGTTTTACAGATATATGTATATTGTATGTGCACTACAGTTTTTACAAATAGAAAGATTCCCTTTAAAATAATCTATTAGTAATGAGATTATATCCTCCTTCATTTTCAGAGTATTATTTTTAAGTGTTCCCTTTTCATTTAGTTTTGAAAGTTTCATCAAGCATTTTAAAAGCATATTAGTAGCAAAAGTAGCAACCTTCCTCATTGCAAGAGAACAGTGAAACATGCAAAAACATCATTTGATACTCTATTGCATAAAGTTCTCACATCCCCTTTCCCACAGCATGGCATGAAACATATTTTAGTAATCCAGAATGTCATCTCACTGGTTCTAAGAGATGGCATCCAAACGCCAGACTCTGTCATTTCTGGTAAATAGAAGTCAGTCTCTGTAGAAAACAATGGCCAATGGGAGAAAACAGTTTGTACCAGTGCAAAACTAACACAACTACATCATCTCCTGATAACCCTGGAGACAACACATACTGGCTGCACCATACAGGGAGAAAAAAATAGTTAAACTATTAACTAATAACAGAAGCAAAAAATGAGAGGCTGTGTTGTGAAGCATGTACATGGAAACATTGATATAAACTTTTGTTTTCTCTTTTTTATGAAAGAGGAATAGCAGTCCTCTTTCTGTTCTGTGGTTCAAAGAATCACACCCTGAATCTCATCTCTTCTTTGGGTCTTCCTAATCAAGCCACCAAACCAGAAAAGACATTCTGGTGAATGGCATTTCCCTTGGAATGCTGACTCTTTTCCTATTTTATATGTAGCAATTTTCCCTAATCATCTAGCAACCTCTTTCTCTCTACTCTGTCACAAACACCCCCAAACTTCTCTTAACCAGCCAGCTCAGACCAGATCTTCCTCTAAACGTCTTTGTACTGTGTATCATTTCCTCCAAAACTTTTTAGGTACAGCGGGTGTCCCAAGCCCTGGGGCCATGGACTGATACCAGTCCCTATGACCTGTGGGGAACCAGGCTGCACAGCAGGAGGTGAGCAGCGGGTGAGTGAGCATTACTGTCTGAGCTCCGCCTACTGTCGGATCAGCGGCGATGTTAGATTCTCATAGGGGTGTGAACCCTATGGAGAACTGTGCATGCAAGGGATCTAGGTTGTGTGTTCCTTATGAGAATCTAATGCCTGATGATCCGAGGCTGAACAGTTTCATCCTAAAATAATTCCCCGACACCCCCCATGATATTCAGGTCAGTCAAGCCATCTAAAAGTATTTGTCTGTAGTATACATTTAAATTGTAATCTAACAAGTCATTCTTAGAGAGTGTTTTAATGTTACTCTTCCTAAACTGAGGTCTTGAGGGAGAGGAGGGAGCCCAGGAGAATTCATTTTATTTGGTGATATAGAAATTGAAACACCTCTTTAAGTCTAGGGTTGTTATGGCATGGAATGAAGAAATAACGTACAAGTTGGCCACTGAACACTCAACTTGAAAAAAAAAAATGTCAAGCTGCTGCCAGCATTTCTATACCAGCAATCTCATGAGAATTTGAAGTATTCCCTGGTACTGGGGATCCTTCGGGAAAAAAAATGAGAAGGATGCTTTAATCCAAAGGAAAGTAAGGGTAATAGAGAGCACCTCAAGTACACTGATGCTGATGAGACAACAAGACTAACAGAAGTCCCAGGAGCAATGGCCACCATTTAGGCTTCACAGTGGTTTGGCTCCTGAAAAGTCTCCATTGGCAGGTCCAACACATTTATAAAGTAACATGGAATCATACAGAGCCACAGAGATCATTACAGAAAATCTGAATTTTAAAATGAGTAACAATTAGTGAATATTTTAAAAACAAATATTAAGCATTCCTTATCAAATCTTTCCAGCTGCATTAAACTGTAATTAAAGTACATTATCTAGAAATCAGGAAATAACTTATGCAATTTAGATTGCAAATTGGACTGCCGTACACTGCTGTGGTGATATGTCACCACAATTTTGATTGCTACTAATAAATTTACTACTATTAACAGTAGTTAATATTTATTGAACACTTAATATACTAAACATAAATCAATTTGCACCCATCTCATTATATCCTAACCATAAAATAGGGTAGAATTCTAAATGTAAATTATCTTTTAGTTATATATCTTATAACTTATCAAAAGACATTTAGGATTCCTGTTATCCCCATTTTTTGCCAAGAAATGCAGTCCTCCCCCCACCACCACTGAAAATGGTTTTGGCTACAATCTGGCAGAATTCTTCATGAAAGACATCCCTGGATCCTTCAACCACTTTTCCCATGAACCACACTATCCCTTGTGATATTAGTACACAAAAGAGCAGGAGAATATCATAACTAGTGGTCTCATCACGTGTAAAGGAAATGCGTGGGTTGTTTCAGAACACACCACAAATATTTAAAGCAGCTAACTGGGACTATGGGAATGAGAAAACCCTCACATGTACAAAACTATACACATAAACAAATGCAACTCTATCTCCACATCAACTCGTGTGGGTATTTTTGAGCCCACATTCAGTAGCAGACTGGGGTCTCTGATATTCTTTCCATGGGAGAGTCCACACCCACAATGGAATCACCTTTGGACAGTGCTGCAGTATAAACTGGTCACAGACACCATAATGGGATGAGTAGTTCTTTATTTGGTCCATTGGTGGACCATACTGTGGAGGGCTGTGTACAACTTTCATCTTACTAATTCAAAAATCATTCTTTGGGACTCTGTCATTTAAGAGGTTTAATTCTTTGCTCTGAAGAGGTAAAAACAACTGCTACAATAACCTCCATTTTTGAAATTAAAACAACAAATCAAAAATGTTTTGGTGTCATGTCAGATTTTTTTTTTTTAATGTTACACGCTTGGTATGTTACTGTGTTTGGAATACTGGGAGAAACTATTCAATGATGGCCTGGAATTCTCTCTAGAATGAAAGTCTAGCTGTGTAGGGAATATAAACAAGATGTTAACAAGAGTTACAGGTACAAAGGTGTAGCCAGTAAGAAATTGCATACGAAAACTCTTAAGTTTGCATGAAAATAGAAGTGTCCACTGCACTAGGTTATCAATGCTCACATTGATTTGCAACACCTCAACAACCAAATATTTCAACCACATTCTACTTGCCAGTTAAAAAGTTAAATTTTCACTCCATGAACACTCAAGAAATATGGATGAATAATCATAGAGTAGTTGTGTTCTAACAGTCTTGGATGTATGAAACTATCTGTTATTCTTCTGAAACTCTAAACCCAAAACAAATGAAACTCTGCTTTTCAAATCTTTGTTATATAATGCAATAAAAAATAATCTTTATAGGAATATGAAGAGAATTACAATGAACATGCTCACCTGAGATATTAGATTTTGTAACTTTATATAAAATTCATTTTTAATTCGTTTTCTAAAGGATGTATTTTAGGATTGGTCACAAACTCTGATTAATTAATTGACACTTCTGAAAACTATGGAAACAGAACATAAATAAGGCTTGTTCATTCCTAAGAATCCAATTCTCAAGAATTAGAGTACACAGAAAATTGTAAAATGCAGCAGATACATGTTTAGTAAGCACAACCATACAAAAGGCTGAAAAAATTTTGAAGTCAGAGCCTGTTACAATTCAACATAATGAAAGTTAAATTTGAAACATATTCTTTTCCTACATTTCTTTCATAAATAACATCTGCATTGTTACAATAGCTTTGTTATCAAGAAATCTTGAATAGCTTGAATGTTGAAGAAATGAAGAACCCTAGTTATTTCAAAATAGTAATTATCTGCATTTTAAGCAGAAAACCTTTGGATTAGCCATGTTTTTTAAAAATAGTTTTAATATAGGGACGCAATTTTTATGTACTTGTATATATAGAATTCTACGTGTAAGTGAAGTCTTTCAACATTATTTAAACACTACTCACTGATAATAATATAATAGGTCCTGACAATAGGTCTGTTACTGGTGGGAAGCATCTGTATCACTCAGTAAAACCCACTGCATGGAGATGCACTTGTTGACCAGAGCTTAAAAAGGAACTGTGAAATTTAATATCTCAAATTCCCATTCATTGTCCCTGTTATAGCTTGTTTAAAGCTATGTATATGTGAACTGAGATACACCCATCTCTTCCCTGTGCTTTAGGAACAATGGTGCTCTCCCTTAGCTAATAACGAGGACTTGCACCTTAGTTTCCATTTTATTCACTTATCCACCAAATAAATATTTATTAAATACTTACTATATACCATACTTTGGCCTGTGGTTTTCAATCTATCAAAACCAACCCTTTGAAACAAATATTTTGCAAGGTTTTCTTTATTATTCTAAACTTAAATTTATAGATGATTTAACCTATTTATTTATTATTAAAATAAAGTAAATATAATACTCTAGCTATAATATAAAGTAGAAAAGGGAATGGTAATTTAAACAAAGTAACATATTTTGCTATATGTGAATGCTCAGACAGGCACACCATAAACCTGAAGTAGGCAGATGCCTGTACAAATATGATACATAAGATAGAAGTAAGATCAGATGCCATTACCCACACAAAAAATGTATTTTTGAGAAAATGATAATGCAAATGTACAGATAGATACTAGTATGAAAACAAATAATGGCAATAGACCAGATGTATTTGCATATAATGAAAGAAGGAAGGAAACAACCTCAATTAAGGTAGGTATAACATGGAATGACAAACACAACCCTTCCCTGTAGACAGAAAAAGCTGATGATCCCATAAATGAGGAAGCAAATCATGTCCATTTCCCACACCAAAACTGCGGAATCGTTGAAAGTACTGTAAAGGTCATTTTTCTTTTGATTGATAATATCAGCTGATACCTTGTGGGACCCAGGGGGATGCCTAGCATAGATTATCAATAATAAAAAATATGGCATCAAGTTAAAACCACTATCTGACTTCCCAATTTGTTCCAAGAGTACTGTGTAGCAATTATAGAATCAAGTGGACAAAATACCCAAGATGAGTAAATTATTCAGTAATTTGGAAACAATGTCTTTATTTCATTTAGCCTTACCTCTCAATATCTACCTTTTACTCAAGTACTGGCCTTTCAAACAACTTCTTGTAAAAAATAATAATTAATTAATTAAAATCATACACTAACGTACTCTGTTTTTATTTTAGAGGGTGATACAGTTTGGCTTTGTGTCCCCACCCAAATCTCATGTTAAATTGTAAACCCCAGTGTTTCAGGAGGGGACCTGGTGGGAGGTGAATGCATCATGGGGGTGGATTTCTCCCTTGTTGTTCTTGTGACAGTGAGTTCTCAGGAGATCTGGTTGTTTAAAAGTGTGTAGCATTTCCCCTTAGCTCTTTCCTGCCACCACGTGAAGATGTGCTTCCTTCCCCTTTGCCTTATGCCATGACTGTAAGTTCCCTCAGGCCTTTCCACCCATGCCTCCTGTACGGCATGAGGGGCTGAGTCAATAAAACCTCTTTTCTTTATAAATTACCCAACCTCGGGTAGTTCTTTATAACAGTGTGGCAACCGACTAATACGGAGGGTTTACTCAGGCAGGACTTAACAGAAGTCTTGCAGGACACATGGCAATTTTTCATAACATTGTACCATCCTGCCCAGAGCATGACCTCAGGTATTCCTGCCTGTTCCCTAAAGGCCAGGAGAATCCTCCTAATCACCTCCACGATTTCCCAGAACACATCCTATGAGGCAGCACTGCACTCATTGAGAATGAGCTGCATTCATTGGGCTGGACTCGTGGATACACAAATGAGCGCAGACATCATCCCTTTCCCTATGTCTAGAGTGGGATACAGGTATATATAAAATAAACACAAAAATAAAGTTATATCTAACCATAACTTATGCTAAGTGCTTGAGGGAAAAGAATGTATTGTTGTGAGGACAAGGAGATTAGACAAGCCCTCCCATAGAAAGTAACAAGAGCAATAATGTGCAAGATTCGCAGGCATCTTCATTTTTTCTTGGCTTCTTACAATCAGTGAAATGCAGTACAAGAATTTTTTGATGCTTGCCTGGAGGAGAGGCAAGAATCCTCTTCCAGTATTATGGATACAGATATGCATGGTATGGAAGAGTGTTCTGGAAAGTTGCCACCTTTATGGCACAGCATCAAATTGCCTAATACATTCTATTTTTCCTTATGTTTTCTCTATTTAGGATTTATTTTGCTTCCTTGACATTTATACTGAAAGTGAAAAACAATAAAGTTTTTTGTTTTTTTGGTTTTTTTTTTTTTTTTTGAGACGGAGTTTCGCTCTTGTTACCCAGGCTGGAGTGCAATGGCGCAATCTCGGCTCACTGCAACCTCCGCCTCCTGGGTTCAGGCAATTCTCCTGCCTCAGCCTTCCGAGTAGCTGGGATTACAGGCACACGCCACCATGCCCAGCTAATTTTTTGTATATTTAGTAGAGACGGGGTTTCACCATGTTGACCAGGATGGTCTCCATCTCTTGACCTCGTGATCCACCCGCCTCGGCCTCCCAAAGTGCTGGGATTACAGGCTTGAGCCACCGCGCCCAGCCTGTTTTTTTGTTTTTTTATGATCCATCAACTTCAGCCTCCCAAAGTGCTGGGATTACAGGTGTGAGCCACTGCACTCCACCATAAATGGCGATTCCTTGATGGGCCTCTTGCGAACTTTAGTCTGGGCAATGAGGAGATACAGAAAGGCTTTGCAAGGTGGGGCTGTGTGTGCTCCAGGAAGATGGAAGGCAGGAGCTTGTGGGGGCATGGAGTAGAGCAGTGGGCTAATAACAAATGAGCTTGGTCCAGGTGGGAGGTGATGGGCCAATGCCTGGAGGTGGCAGGTCGTTAAGTAACAGTATCATTAAGTGCCACTAAATAACGGTTCTTAGAAATTATTTCAATATTTTGAGCTGTTCAAAGGACTGCTTTTATAACTTTACAGGTGAATAAATGGACCCAAAAATGCTTTAAAAAAATTTTCCCAGATTCACACAAGAAATAAGTATGAATGAAATAACTAATAATGCTGGCTTCCCAGACTGAGTTGTTTTTCTTAATCACTATATTGTTTGGTTTTGTGTGTGTGTATGTTTTTAAATTTAGGTATATTACATTATATGGTATACACGACATTATACATGTCATCAAATAGATGTTAGAAATGCAAAAAAGGAAAACTAGCTTAAGACCTCTTGGGTTTATAAAAGAATACCTTGATAGAACTTCATGAAAATCCCAGACATAAATACTACCTTTGTGCTGATATTTTGATTTCTGACTTTTTTCTTCAGTGTGGGTACAGGGTTTGGAAGCATTTAGTAATTTTAGTCTGAGCCAAATTTTCAGAAAACCAAAATACAAAAGCAATGATAGAGTATTCATGAGTGGGAGAAATGCTGGAAAAAAAATGACTGGTTTTCACTTCAAAGGTATCATCATAAGCCCTGACAGATCAGATCCAAAAAGGTTACTAAAGAATCATATCCATGACAGGCACCAGCTGAACATTTTGAAGGATACTATTAATGTGAGTCCTCATCAGTTACTCTCAGGGACCCTGTACTGATTTCTCCTTGCAGCACCCATGAGCCCCCACAAGCCTTCTATATAAGATGGCAGCACACACAAGCTGAGGAATGGAACTCCAGGAGTGATGAAGGAATACATCTGAACTTAAAGATTCCTCATTTCTCTCATAGAATAACAATCTAGACTAGAGACTTTGAATCATAACCATATTGCCATTCTTATAAGTGAATTTACAGCATAAGCTCCATTTTTACTTTATCTGGGCTCAAATCCCGGCTCCAAGACTTATTAGCTTTTTGACCTTGGACAAGATCACTGGGTGCCTCAGTTTCCTCATCCATAGAATGGCTATAATAATTGCATTCACCTTATAGATTTTTTGTGTGTGAGATTAAGAGAGATAATACATCTAAATTCTTTAGAATAATGCCTGCCATACATGGCAAACACTAATTATCATTAGCAATTTTTTATTATATAAACAGAAATAACAATGTTATAGACAAGTCCTTTGCCTTATAAAAATGTGAAGAAACAAAAACATCTTGAAACTTAAAAAGACAAGTTGACCTTTTTTTCCGGCTGGAATCATGAAGTGTAGAAGAGAAGACGAAATAGATCCCTGCTGTGCCAGAAGCCCTTAAGAAACAGTGAAGGAATTTCACAGAACTGAAGATGAAGCACCTGAAAAAGAAGTTTGCCCAAAAGATGCTTTGAAGGCAAGGAGGAAGCCTATCTATGAAAAGGCGAAGGACTGTCACAAGTAATATAGGCAGATGTGCAGAACTGAAATTTGAATGGCGAGGATGGCAAGGAAAGCTGGTAACTTCTATGTACCTGCAGAGCCCAAATTGGCATTTGTCATCAGGATCAGAGGTATCAATGGTGTGAGCCCAAAGGTCTGAAAGGTGTTGCAGCTTCTTCGCCTTCATCAAATCTTCAATGGAACCTTTGTGAAGCTCAACAAGTTAACATGCTGAAAATTGTAGAGCCATATATTGCATGGGGGTACCCAAATCTGAAGTCAGTAAATGAACTAATCTATAAGCATGATTATGGCAAAATCCATAAGAAGCAAATTGCTTTAAGAGATAATGCTTTGATTGCTTGATCTCTTGGTAAATATGGCATCATCTGCATGGAGGATCTGATTCATGAGATCTATACTGTTGAAAAATGCTTCAAAGAAGCAAATAACTTCCTGTGGCCCTTCAAATTATCTTCTCCAAGAGGCGGAATAAAGAAAAAGACCACCCATTTCATAGAAGGCAGAGATGCTGGCAACAGGGAGGACCAGATCAACAGGCTTATTAGAAGAATGAACTAAGATGTCTACCACGATTGTTTTCTAAGCTGGTTGGTTAATAAACAGTACCTGCTCTCAAATTGAAAAAAAAAGACAAGTTGACAAAGTGGAGAGAATAAATTGTGACAGAATAAAAGCCAGGATTGCATTACTCATTAGTCCAATAAGAGATCCCATAATGTTTAAAATAAAAATGACAATTACATTAATGTGGCAATTTTCCTTGAGGAACCCCAAAAGGCATCCTCCTCCCCTCTCAAAAGCTTATTTTCTTATTCATAATTTAGAGGCTACAAAATTGTTTAGTGTCAAACACCAAAGCATTGCTCGCTATTGGAATAAAAAAATATAAAACAGCTGTTTCATTTAAGCCAGCAGAGAAAGTAAAAATGAACTGAAATCATTTGTCACCAATGGAAATTAATGCCAAACATTATCTTTTGTGACAGACCTGTTTTATTTCTGAAGATACCATAAGATAGATTCCTACGGGGGTGCTCTGTTTAAGAAGCCATCTGTCTGCTTTGGGCAAATGACTGCAAGCCTAATCCACTTACAGAAAATGTCAACAAAATTGCTTCAACACCAGTGAGCTGAATAATAGGAAAACCCCAAGCTAAACTTTAAAAATATAATTCAACTGCAGGAAGCCTTATGAATTTAGGTTTGTATGATGACACTGGTATCCTGAGAATTCTCTTGCAGTCATTTTGACAAAAGAACCATTCAATAAAATAATAGCAGTCACTGCTTATTGGTTCCTCTGCTCTCTGCTCTTTCCTTCCCATTATTGCAATCATCTCCCTCCATGTTAACAGAACTAATAGGATAGGACAGAAGATTAATGTCAATCTTTAGCAAGGTGATGAAGGTAATTCACTGCATTTCAAATGAAATTTAGTAATAGATTGTCATTAGCACAATAAACAAACGCTGTTTAAAAGTTCCAGTATCTCAAATTAGTTTTCCATGGATAATAAATGACCCTGAAATCTGAATTCATACTACCTCCATGAGTGCCATAAGCCAAATACAAAAGGAGCTTCTATAGAAATTTCAACTTGGTCAACTCATGCTATTCCCATTTCAAAAAAGATCATTTATAACAGCTTGAAACACAGAGGATGTTCCAAATCCCAGAGCAAAGGCTATCGAGATAGTTATGAATATGAGTAGAATATTTTTAAATACATTCTGGTATTTGCTTTGTAATGTTTCACACTAAAAAGTTACTGGTCAATTGTTGGTCAAATTATTGGTTACTTGATCTGTCCAAAAAGTAATTCTGCAAACATTTTGGAACAAAAGGGCAGATGCAATAACAGTGTACCATAGAGTGAACTGATCACAAAATGGCTTCAGCTGCTTCACCACCTCCACAGTGCTGGATTCAGCAAATAAGTGGCTTTTCATGACATCTGGTCCCTTGTTACACAACTCCAGGGGCACAATGCACCCTGCCTTCTATGTGCATGGCAATCCCTACAGCCAAATGACAGTTGTATTACATCTGGTCTAGATATGTCCTTTTACCAAGGACATTCATTCTTTATTCTCTACAAAATCATAATGCTTTTACAGAGGCTGAAATTGTCCTCTTTAATAGAGAATCATGGCATGTGTATGGCTGGCCCATCCAGTGGCCTTGTAGGCACCCATCTAGGCTGGCATGAGTTCCAGGTTCAGTGTTAATTGAAGTGACCAAATAGTTATTAGCAAGATATTTCTAAAGGGGCAACTTCTTCCACCCTCCACCTAATGAGCCAGTTTTTAATGAATGAGGCTAAGACAGCTATCAAATAAAACAGGCTACTTCTTAATAGTTCAATCAAGGATGTGGCCAACTCAGCTTCCTCCACAATGATTGGTTTGGAGATTTGGTCACTCATGAGATATTCACTCTCGGTGCCCCAAATCCAGCAAAGCATTCATTTAAACACCAGATCAATGTTAGTGCCAGGAAAGTCAAGACCTATTTTTCCTAATGTGAGACTGGCTCCAATTTCAGATTTCAGACTCAAGCCATCTATACTAACAGACTACTAGTTACACTTTTTCCTCCAACGTTTTATATTATTTAAAGATTTTTCAACCCTACACAAAAGTTGAATGAGTAGCATCCATATTTCCCAATTTTTCAGATTGTGTTATGTTGGCTTGATCAATTTATCTATCCCCATCTAGCTAACAATGTATACTTCACCATAAATACCTCAGTGTGCAGATCATGAAAATGAGGACATTCTACATAACTGCAGTACTATTATTACCACCAAAGAAATTAATGTTCATTCAGCAATTACATCTGATATATAATACATATTAAATTTGCCCAGTTGTCCCAAAGCATCTTTTTATTACTTTTTTTTAAATCCAGAAGCTAATCACACATTACTAGAACCTTTGAAAATAGCAGCTCAGTTACGTGAAGTTAGAGTAAAAGCATAGTGATGGAGAGTGTATTGGGAAACGGAGCAGCAAATTCACAGCAGTAAATACCACTCACTCAGAAGACAAACATTTCCACAGCTTCACTCCTGTCGACTTTATGGAATACGCACCATTAAATCATCACATACACTTGTCAAAACATTTCTTCTAAACGTCAAATACCATCATTCTTACATTCTTATTTTTAAATCAACTTTATAAGTACATATGCCTGGAAAAAATTCACCATACATTCACCAAACCCATTCAATTTTTTGAATGTCATGATAAAGCTTCCCTAGCCCTTCTTCTTATCCAAATTTCTTCCCAGAATATCTTAATGTGAAAAACAAACTATCAGCATCTAGTGGGAGAGGACATTCATATTTGATTTCTTAATATGTCAGTAGCTGATATTTCTTAGAACTTTGAATATGTGGACCAAAAAAACCCACATTTTTAAAGAAACTTTAAATTATCACCATGTAGAAAATCCAGAAGTTTATTTGACAGGCCTTATGCAATGCTGTCCACATCCACAGACCTCTGCTAAAGAAAACAGCCCCAGGCTGACCTTGAGTTGGAATGGCCCAGCTCTGCACTGTAAGAACCAACCTCCCCAGCCAAAACCGGTTGGACCACAGATTCACACACACGGCCCAAGTGTGGCCAATCAGTAGCTGACCAGTGACCTATGAGATGTCCCGACACCAGGCAGTAATGACAGTAAATAGACAAACCAATTGGATTAACTCTTTCCAAGATTGGAACTGAAAACTTCAGAGTCTCAGTCATTTGTAAACAGAAAGAAGTGCTAGAAAATAGAGAGGAAAGAAAGCAGCAGAGCTGAGCCCCTATAAGACCACAGCACTAGAGAGAAAAGCTACAATTCTTGCTCTCAAGGCAAGGAAAGGGAAAATGGAAAAAAAAAAAAAAAAGATAACACAGTCCTCTAAAGCCTGCTTCAATTGTGAAGGATCTTCTAGCTTGAGATTCCATGAGGCTGCTCATCTGTGGCTCCTCCTCTTCCTAGGAGATGTGGTCCCTGCATTGTCACATGTGGTCTCACTTCAAGAAATCTGAATGAATCCTATTTTATTTTAAATGAGAAATGACAGGACTGCTACAATTTTAATCACACCATTTGATTGCTTGATAACAAAGGCAAAATAGAGTTTAAACCATGTCCAGGCTAAGGCTTTCAAGCTTCTTGTAGAGAAAACCAGCATCAGTCAAAAGGATACAAAGAATAGGGGTTATGGCTGATGTCTGCAGTAGGAAGAATGATTAACAAGTTATGAATTGACTTTGTGACCTTGGAAATGGCCCTAACTCCTGTGGGCAGCAGTCTCCTTTTCTACAAAACATGGGGATTTAATAAGATATTCTTTGATTTGATCTTATAGGCTAAAAATCTATTGTTTATTAATTAGGGCTCAGATTAAAACTGATATGTTAAAATTCATCATCTAATTATTAAAAATAATAGAGACTGTCTAGTGAGAGATAAAGTAATTAAAGTCCTATAATAGTGGAATAACAGGATTCCTTGGAAATACATGCAGGGATACCTAACTCTGTTGAAGATGGGGGGCAGGAGAAGGCATCCGTGAAGGCATCCTGAAAACTCTGTAGTGAATGATCAGCCATGTAGAATGGGAGTGATTAGCCATGTAGAATGTTCCCAACCAGTCAAAAAAGATAAAAACTGAAAAATGTGCTCATGAGATTTTGTGACAAGGAGGTTACTGGTGACCTTGGTGAGAATGATTTAATGGAGTGTCAGGGGAAGAAGAAAGATTAAAGTTGGCTAAGAAGTGAGTGGGAGGTAAGGAAGTGGATTTGGCAAGTATCAACAATCCTGTTAAAAAGTTTGACTATGTAGGCAAGGAGAAAGAGGAAGGAGATGAGCTAGAAGAGGGCTGAAAGTCCTTTAGAAAAGCCCATACACACACACACATGCGTGTGTATGTGTATGTGTGTGTTGTTAATCAAAAAAGCCAGCCAAACTCTATAAAATATTAAAGAGATTTATTTTGGGCCAAATGTGAGGACCATGACATGTGACACAGCCTCAGGAGGTCCTGAGAATGTGGCCAAGGAGGTTGAGTTACTTGATATTTTACATTTTAGAGAGATATAAGACGTCAGTCAATACATATTAGGTGTCCATTGGTTTGGTAGGGAAAGGCAGGACAGGAGACTTACAAGTTAAGGTGGATTCAGAGATTTTCTGATTGGCAATTGGCTGAAGGAGTTATTATCTAAAAACCCAGAATCAATAGAAAGGAGTGTCTAGGCTAACATAAGTGGTGTTGGAGACCAAGGTTCTTATTATGCAGATGAAGTCTTACAGGTGGCTATCCTTAGAGGCAATAGATAGCAAATGCTTCCTATTCAGATCTTTAAAAGGTACTAAGACTCTCAGCCAACCTCTTGAGAATCAGAAAAAGACCTAGAAAAGGAAGAGGACTCTCTACTGAATGTAAATTTCCCCCAAAAGAGACAGTTTTGCAGGGCCATTTAAAAATATGTCAAAGAAATATATTTTGGGGTAAAATATTTGATTTCTTTCAGGGCCGGCTATCTGTCATGTGATGCTATTCTAGAGTCATATTGAAATTTGGTATCTTATTGCTACAAAGAGTCTGC